GGTGTAAAAATGTAATGGTGGAAGCCAAAGCAACTTCAGGCACTGCTGGATCTAGGGTGTGAGATGACCTCATCAGGGCTCTACTTTTCTCTGTACCTTTGATCTGCTTCCATATGGGCTGATTTTATTCTCAGAGAGGTTTTATTCATGTGGTGAGAAACACAGCTACCGGAAGCCCCAGTTTCTATCCTCATAAATAAGAATTCAAGAGGAATAATAGTTCTGCCTTCTTTATGTGTCAGTACATTAGCTTACAGGTTCTTTACCCATCCTTCAGTGATTCAACCTCAGCAGGGGAAGGAGGTGGTCAGTTCTGCCAACCCTTGATGTGTGCCTACAATTGAGTTTGGGTATGTGAGGCATTAATATTGACAGAGCCATCTCAACTCATGGACACGGGGGCCAGGGGGTTCTATCCCATAGGAATGGCTGATGATGTTACCAAAGGAACAGCAGGAACATTTCATCTCCTGCCAACTTAGAGGATGTAGAGAATTACAGGTTTTTTGTTTTGTTTTTTTCATAAGATGGGACCAGGAAATAGATGCTGGGTAAGTGGTACAAGATGTCTACTACAAATAAATATGACAGGAAATCGTGACAAGTGAACTAGAAAATATTTTCTCTTGCTGTCAATCCAAGAAAAAGTGACCTTCACTCAGTAGTGCAAATCAAAGGTAAGAGTGTGGGGGTGGAGGAGGAGGAAGCTATGGATAGAGACCTACATGAAGGATGGAAGAGTAGCCGGAGCATATTAGCAACAGGGATCGCAGCAGCAAAGGAGGACAACTTTGTATTATAAACTGAAAATGGAGACATTTTCTGCAGAAGATGATGGGCAGGGGAAAACAACAAAGAAAATAAATAAAACTGAGATGATTAAGAAAATGCAACACTAAGAATATAAGTTAGGACTGAGCCCTTAACTTTAGCTACACATTTCATTAATTCCTTCATAAGGACAGATTACTGACTACACAGAACCAAACCTGTGAACACATTTTATAGTGTATCATCTTTGTGTCTAAAACTAGATTCTCCTCCAATTAAATATAACACTAGAACAACGGCTGGCCCAGTTTTGGATTAGCCATTCTTACACAAAGATTTTCCATTCAGATAATCTCAAAAAAATAAGTACTATGTCACCTATTGAGTTCCAGATCCTATGCATCATTTTTCCATTTCTCTGGTAACAGATCACTCTTTCCATTTGGTTCAGGTGGTGCTAGTGCCTGGCTTCTGTCCTTCCTCAGCCAGGCTATGGCAGTGGCCCCAGGTATTGGTCCAGGAATGGACACTGGAGTCACGAAGAACCGATGAGAGCCTTCCAATTAAAGTTGATTGAGAGCTTTAAGGTTAGAGTGTTCAAATCTTATGCAAATTATGTAAAGCGAAATTACTAGTAAGCCCACTAATCATCCTTTACGTTCTGGAAACTGCATACTGTGACTAAGAGGCCAGCAATTTATCTGCCATCACTTCTGCTCTGCCACTTTATAGTTCAGTCACTATCGAATGAAGACAGTGGGGAATGGCAAAACCAGTTCTGATTCATGGAACACATGAGTGCTTCTTAGGTACAAAACACCATTCTAAACATTCCTGTCCGGGAGAAAAGACAAATAATACCCAGCCCTTACCCTCAAGAATCTTACAACCTGGCAGGGGAAACAAGACATGCACACAGGTGACTGCAATGAGAAGATAATGACTGCTGCCAGATGTTTGGGGAGAAAGAGCAGGGCTTAGAGAGAACACAGAATAAGGCAGCATTCAATAGTCAGCCAAGATATATTTATTGAGCAATCACAAGACATGAAATGAAAATGGAGGAGTAGCCCGGCCGGCATGGCTGAACATAGACCTATGAACCAGGAGGTCACGGTCCAATTCCCAGTTAGGGCACATGCCCGGGTTGCGGGCTTGATCCCCAGAGTGGGGCATGCAGGAGGCAGCCAATCAATGATTCATTCTCATCATTGATGTTTCTCTTTCTCCCTCTCCCTTCCTCTCTGAAATCAATAAAAATATATGTTAAAAAAGAAAAGAAAATGGAGGAGTAGAACATGGGTCCAGACATGAGCAGGTAAAAAAAAAATCAAGTGACATTACTTGCTACCAGCTCTCCAAATATTTTTTGTCACCAAGTTCCTAATAAACAACCTTAAATTTAAAACTTAATAACCATCTAGTCTCTGTCAAATACAGCCTGAAGTACCGATGCCTAAATAATAGGATCATAGTACTCGTGTTTCCAAGTATACCTTTCTATTACTCTGTTTCTTCTTTTTATCTTTCCAAATTAGCTGATGCTACCTCAAACAGTATCTATTTCAGCTGTTCCACCCTTTTTGATCTGGTGTATTGGAACAGATGAATTAAAAGAGGATCTTTTTGTTTTTGAACAAGAGAAAAAAAATAGTATGTAATTGGAAAAAATCTAGAGGCAATCTTTCAGGCAAGGCTGAATCGCAGGAATTCAAATCTTTTCATCAGGCCTCTACTTATCTCTGCCCCCATCCCTCCTTCCCTCTTCCTTTTCCCTCTCTTGTATCTCTTATTATGAGATTAAAATATTCCCCATCTTTGTGGAGGAGGCTTCTGGCACAGCTACAGGTTGCTTATCCTCTTACAGAGCTCCAGGACCAGCAGGAAGAGCTGGGGCCATCACAGCATAAGGCTATACAAAGCATGCACTTATGTAGCAGAACATCCCACCTAAAAGTGATTGATAACCACATTGTACACATGGTAGATTAGCATACTAATTACAGCACTGTTTTCTTGAAGATAGTGGTAAAATGTTGTTCTTATAAAATCAGAATACTACATTTTCCAAAATATAAAGTGTTTTGAGGCTTGGGGTGGGCGGCGGGGCTTTTTTCCCCTAACTCATGCACAGATTGTCTCTTGGATAGTGGTAACTCTGTGTTAAGACAGGAGTTACTTCAGAAAGGCCTGGATGGTTTTTGTTGAGTTCCATTCTCATCCTTAATCTCATCATCACTATAGTTCAAAGGACCCCATGCTTTGACTAGCCAAGTCTCGATTGTGGGAAGTGGCATCTATTTTTCTCAAACCTTAAATATTGAAACATGGAGAAAAGGCATATCCAAAAAGAAATTGACAGTCTCGACTGTCCTTAGAAAAAAGAGGAATAGATGGTGGGCAAGAAAAAAAAAGTCCTCTATACCAGGAAATGTTTGTAATGTTCTTTGGGTATTGCAACATTGGTTTCCTACATATAAAGCAACAGAGTGTATTGGCTTAAAAAGAGCACCATGGCCAAAGGCACATGGCCTATTTTAACAGAGGATTTGGGAGTTAAAATATCACTTGGAGAGCATCCAATTCAATCTCATCATTTTACAGATGGGGAAACTAAAACCCATATGGAGGAACAGAAATGCCAAGGGGTACACAGGTAGTTAGTGGCAGAGGTAACCAACTACCCGTCTACTGACTTTTTGGTGTGTGTGTGTGTTGTACAAGGTCATCTTTCTTTAGTACATTAACAAGAACAACAAAAAGTATAGTCTTGCCTTAGCTAGTTTGGCTCAGTGGACAGAGCATCAGCCCAAGAACTGAAGGGTCCTGGGTTCGATTCCAGTCAAGGGCATGTACCTCAGTTGCAAGCTTGCTCCCCAGCCTGGTTAGAACATGTGCAGAAGGCAACCAATCAATGTGTCTCTCTCACATTGATGTTTCTTTCTCTCTTGTCACTCCCTTCCCCTCTCTCTTAAAAAAAAAATCAATGGAAAATATTCTCCTCAGGTGAGGATTAACAACAAAACAAGGTCTAGCCTTGGTTCTGGTTTTCTCTCACCCTCGAATCTGTGCGATAGAGCTTTGCTGCACTCCAACAGAAAGCCTCCTGAAGAGCTGGGTTAACCTGCCTCCGGGATCTCTGGGCCCCAAGGACAGAGACATCACCTTTCCTTATATAGGAACTAGGGCCACTTGTTGCTTTAATGGCCAAGTTTGCGCTGGGCCTGCAGGGACACCTTTGAAAAAGAGCTTCTTAATTGCCCTGCAACCTGCTCTGGCATCCTGATTTGGAGAGAAAGGCATCCGGAATCACTGAGGAGACTTCTGTCTGCCTGGCTTTCTTCCTCCTACTGGCCCGCCTTTCTGCCTTTCCTGCCCTCCAGAACCTGTCACCAGCCAGAGGCGTCTCTGGAAACGGGTAGGAGGGAGCCTTACACCTGTCAGCACCTGAGAAGGAAGTGGGCTCTGCAGAGTTCTCAGTCCTTCCATCTCTTGCCAGGGAAATAGAAAAAGGGGGAGTCTGAGGTTTCCACCACAGATTTAGGAGCTGCTTCTGTTGGTTCATCTGGCTCTGGCCCCAGTATACCCTGAAGACCAAGCATGTACTTCCTTCCATTCCTAACGTTCTTGTTGGCATCTTTCCCTACAGGGAGCCTGTGCCTGGCCCGGAGAAGTCTCTGGGTAAAGGCTCCATAAGTCATGAATCAGGCTCCTGTGTGTATGTACGTTTTTCTTGAGAAAAACTGGCACCGAGGAATCAGCAGTAGAGACGGTCTTTCCCTGGCCCTTCCCTCCACCACTTGCGAGACTCCCATTCTCCTGGAGCTGACAGCCGGCTCGGGACTCCAGGTCGGGCGGGAGCTGTCAGCACCAGACATCCTACTCCCATCCCGGGGCTGATGCCTCCGGTGCGTGTGGGTGCAGGCGAGGATCAAGAGGCTTCTACAGAGAGATGGGGGCCAGAATCCCTGGCCTGCGACCTGAAATCCCCCGCCCACCCAGTCCCCCCCTTTCCTCAGCACGCAGCCCCTCCCTGCGTGATGATGCAAACCAGTGGGGAGGGCGGGCACTGGGAAGGGTGGGGATAGACCAGGAGCTAGCGAGGGAGGGAGGGAGTGGGAGGAGGAGGTGGAGAGGGAGCCGAACGACCATTTAAAGCGATAGCAATCCGTGCCCTCTCCCCAGTGTTGGGCTGTTGAAGAGCTCCAGCGGCAAGCCAGTGCCATCTCAGGATTGCCGTATTTGGAGGGACACTCACTGGGCCCCTTTCCCCACATCCAGGATGTGGACAGCAGGGACAGGAGGCGTCGAGAGCTGGAGCAGCCGGAGCAGCCGGAGCAGCATGGTCCAGCTCCGGCAGCTGCTCCGCGCCCTGACTTTGATGAAGTTCCCCTGCTGCGTGCTGGAGGTGCTCCTGTGCGCGCTGGCGGCGGCGGCGCGCGGCCAGGAGATGTACGCCCCGCACTCCATCCGGATCGAGGGGGACGTCACCCTCGGGGGGCTGTTCCCAGTGCACGCCAAGGGTCCCAGCGGAGTGCCCTGCGGCGACATCAAGAGGGAGAACGGGATCCACAGGCTGGAAGCGATGCTCTACGCCCTGGACCAGATCAACAGCGATCCCAACCTGCTGCCCAACGTGACGCTGGGCGCGCGGATCCTGGACACTTGTTCCAGGGACACTTACGCGCTGGAACAGTCACTCACTTTCGTCCAGGCGCTCATCCAGAAGGACACCTCCGACGTGCGCTGCACCAACGGCCTGCCCCCGACGTTCGTCAAGCCGGAGAAAGTAGTTGGAGTGATTGGGGCTTCGGGGAGTTCCGTCTCCATCATGGTAGCCAACATCCTGAGGCTTTTCCAGGTAGGGGGGCGCTCCCTCGGGGGCAGAGCGCGCCGTTCCTCCCCGCGCTGTTGATCCCGAAAAGCTGGTTTGGACTCCAGGGGTGTGGGGTCAGGTCAGCCTCCGCGCATCTCCACCCGGAGGTCCCGCCGACCCCCTTCCACTCACCCGAGGAGGCACCTTCCCTGCGTGTTCCTTCCCCCTCCACCTCTCCCCTGTCTGCGCTTCACTCCATCCGGCTTGACATCCTGGATTTATGGCCCCATTTACAAGAAGCAATCTGCGAAAAACAAGGCGATGATTTAAATGGGTTTGCATTAGAGTGAAATATGCTCCGAAAACAGGCTTGTAAAGTGCCGGCCTCCCGTGCGAGCTGGGTAGGCGCATGGAGTGTGAAAGATGAGAAGACGCCTGGAACCCGGGCATTTCTCAACTCCCCGGCTTCCCGGCCTGAGCCGCCCCGGCGCGTCCCAGCGGCCTCGGGCAAAATTCGAGAAGAGCTAGGGAGGCACTACTTACACCGGGGCCAGCCTGTGGGTGCTCTTTGCCCACCTCTGGCGGGTTGGGTTTCCCGACCTGTAGCCTGTCTCCCAGGCGACACTCCCCAAGTGGGGAGAGGCCACCCTCAGACGTGACCCCCCGGCGATTTGCGGGGTGCCAGTGTTGGCACCATCTAAATGGCATTTGCAGCCCGGCCACTGGCAGGAGCTGGACGATCAGCTTTCTACTCCTGCCACTTCAGAGCCGAGATGAGCTCATGCTAACTGCGAAACAAAATCGCTTTCGCTGCCTCATCCCTCCGCCCGCCCTCTCCCAAGACCTCCCTCCGCAGGCCCCCTCCCCCGACCCCATCCCCAGTCCTCTGCTCCCAGGACGATTCCGGAGCCGGGCGAGAAGGGCCGGGAGCGAGGCA